GCGTAGGGGAGGGCAGAGCACTAGGTAGGGGTGTCACATACCAGGTAGAGGGAACAACACATGCAAAGGTGGAGAAGCATGAAAAATATGTTAGAAAACGCAAGTTGTTTGGTATGAATGGTGATAATGGTGTATGCTTGGCCAAAGTCAGGGAATAAACATATAGAAATAGATAGAAGCTTGGTTGGGAAGATACTGAGGCTAATGATGAGGAGTTTCGATGGCATTCTGAAGGCAATCCAAGGAAGGATTTAAGTGCGGGAGCAGCACAGTTAGACTTGAATTTGAGAAGTATGACATTGTACCATGTAAACTGAAAAAAAGAGAAAGAGCTTATTAAATTGACAACTTTCAACTAAACATTCTAAAGCTATGTTTCCAATAACTAGTACATACTCAAAATGGGAATTATAAATTATTTTCTTCCTTACCTTAAATCTCTTTGGCACATAAAATAAGGTACTTCAACCATGTGATTTTCCACTAGAATTAGGAAAAATGGATAACAAAAAGATATAAAAGAAAATGTGATAAAAGAGCAAATATTGTCTTTGCAGTTATATTTCGTTTATAATAACTTGGTTCCTGCTGTTGGTAAAGACCATCTGTCTAGGATAACCACTCAATTTAAGTAAGTGGAAGCATAGTCTTAAGAGATATAGATCAAATCAGCTATAGAAAACAGCTCTCAAGGAGATCGTGTTTTTTAGCAATGTGGGTTGTTTACACATGTGCAGTGTTGAGTCATTGCGTAATCATCCTAAGGACAAACTTTTTGTATAGACAATTAATATTTTGGTAGAGTTGTGAGAAGTTTGATGCAGGAAAATACAAATTGGAAAAAATAAAAATAGAAGGAAGTGAAAGATACAAAAGGTGTGCTTGAGGAATGTATGTACATAAAAAGCACAGGCCATTCATTCAAATGTTTATTGATCATCCAACGTATGCCAGGCATATAGTGGTTCTGTTTCTCTGGAGAATTCGGACTAACACATAGGCTGAGAGGAGAGAGCATGTCGTGGGGCACAGTTGAAGAGGTTAGCGAGGAGTAGGAAGGGGCGCAGCAGCCCCTCAGAAGAGCCGGCTAGGAGCACACCCAGTGGCCAATGTTTCAAGACCTGCAAAACAGAGGTCTAACCATTTTTCACAAGCTTTTTTTCCCTTCAATAACTTCTTGTCTCACATACCTTATTTCCCACTAGCTTCATCTAACTCAGGTAGAAGTGTTTATCTCAAGGCGCCCAGTGGTGGAGTGGTTGAGCTCCTGTGCTCTGCTTCTGCGGCCCTGGGTTCACAGGGTTGGATCCCGGGTGCAGACTTACACACAGCTTCAAGTCAGGCTGTAGTAACATTTCATGCAGAAGAGCTAGAATGACTTACAACTAGGATATACAACTATGTACTGGGGTTTTGAGGAGAGAAAAGCAAAGAGGAAGATTGGCAACAGATGTTAGCTCAGGCCCAATCTTCCTCAAAAAAAAAAAAAGAAAGAAAGAAATGTTTATCTGGGTACAGATGTCATCATCATGGTGCCTTGAGTGATCCCTTTGCCTCTCCCGTTCAATCTACAGCAGGTAGAACATCCATGACTTAACAGAAGCTACATTGCCTAACACACTAGGAGCCAAAGAGACCCACACATTGGTACATGTGAAGGTAGGTGGATTGGAGCACACAGAGGTGAAATGGGGGAACAACAGAGGCGGTGTCCAGGACCCTGGACTTACAGCTGCAGCGGCTGAGCCAGCCGCCACCAGCCCCAGAGAATCCAGTGGGCAGCAGTGGAGGCACGCATGTGACTCTGGCCAGCCAGCGTCTGCAGCACCTGCAGCCCCAGGGAGCAGGGCATCAACGGAGGTGGAGCCCCATGATGCCAGCCCCCAGCTGCAGCTCAGAGCCTAGTAACAGCAGCAGAGGTGTGAAGAACTTCGACATCCCAACCTCAGTGGAGCCTATGACCACAAGGTAACAGGCAACAGCTGAGATGGTGCCCAGCTAACCCGGCTCTCCCCAGCTTCTGACCCAGGTGATCCCCGACAGATGTGGTGGAGGCTTCAGCCATGCCTGTACCCTGCCCCGGTGGCAAAGCCAGCAAATGCAGCAACACCAGCAACAGCAACCCCTAGAGGCACAGGCAGCAAAAACAAGAGGACAGCAACACCACAAATAGAGGCTGTGGAGGGTGGAATGTGCCCATCCTCAAATATAGCCAGAGGCAGCTCTGGCTGGTAAAGGAAACCAAAGACTAGCGGTCTAGAGCCACCTACTAAAAAACAAAAGAAAGGCCTCTGATCTCCAATCCATTGAATAGTTTGAATCAAAGCAAAGCTATACTTAAGCAAGAAAAGTGTTTGCTACAACCAATGTGCCGCTAGAGGAATAACTCAGCAAGCCCCATAAAAGACCATGGTAACATGGCATCAGAAAAAGAAAATGACAATTCTCTAGAAACCAAACATAAAGTCATGGGAGATTGTGATCAAACTGATACAGAATTCAAAATAGCTGTTGTGAAGAAACTAAATGAGTTACAGGAAAACTCAGAAAGGCTGTTCGGTGAGCTCAAGAGTAAAATTAATAAACAGAGGGAGATATTCATCTCAATTCATTAACAGTTTTAAAAACAAACAATGTTATATATATTTTATCACAAAAAATCTGTTACATTTTCATTCATTCTTAAGGGGCACATTTGTGTAAAAGGTACAGATTAAATGTGTATATGTGCATGCATGTGTGTGTATATTTAAATGTCTCTAAATTAATGGTTCTTCAAGTATCCTCTCCAGATTAGTGACATCCACCTCACCTGGGAAGTTGTACTAAATGCAAGGGCTCAGCCCCACCCCAGAGCTACTGAATCAGAAACTCGAGGGTGAGGCCCAGCCACCTGAGTTTCAGCCAGCTGTCCAGGTGATTCTGACACACAAGAGTGTGAGAACCACTATTCTGAGTAGGATGCTACTGGCTACTTGTCCTCATAGAAAAAACTAGCAAATTTGGAACACTTAAAAGAAAAATGTTCTTTTAAATATATTTGCCTCAAGATAAGGCAGTGAGCCTTGTGTATTTCAAAGTATTTCATGGTTACATCTAACGTATTTTGAAGAGATACATGTTTTTTTCCTTAAAGAAAATTAACCACAGTCATGACATCCTCTATAAAGGGTAGGGCACTTTGTCCCTGTCTGGTTTCAACGTGTTAATGCATTCATTGGCCTTTGAATGAAGCAATGGCTGGATTTCACATGCTTTACTATCTCTGCCTCATTACTATGAATCTTTATTGTATTATAGTTAAAGCAGCTGCAGCATTAGTGGTTTATATTTTAGCAGGCAGCATGTGGAAGGTTGACTCAAATCAAGGACCAGATGGGAACCAAGAATAGTGAGGATCATATGACCCACATGTCCTTACATAGCGCTGTGGAAGCCCCTGGAACTTAGATGCAAACGAGGGAGAAGAAAGACAGGAAAACTCTGAATCCACTGAGAAAATTCCGATTTCACTATATCTACCATAAATTAACTAATATTACTAGAATCAATCAATGAATTTATTAAAGTTACTGGACTCAAGACTAATATATAATTGTATTCCTAGCTAGACATTAGCAATAAGAAAATGAGATTTAAAATTTACAACTGCATCAAAACCATTAAATTCATAGGAATAAATATAACAAAAGAGGTCCAGAAACGTTGCAGAGAGTAGTTAAAGAGACCATAAATAAAACAGCGATATTCCATATTCATGAATAGAAAGACTTGATATTTTTAAGATGCTGACTCTTCCTAAGTCATTCTGTGCATTAAATGAAATATAAATAAAAATCTCACAAAAATTTTGTGGAAAGTGACTACTGATTCTAAAATTTACGTGGACATTTTTGGCATGTGAATAGGCAAGGTAATTTTGAAAAATAGTATCAAGGCTTACATTACCATATGTAAGACTTATTATAAAGTTTCAGTAATTAAGATAATATGATATTGGTGCAAGAATAAAGAAAAAAATCGAACAGAATGGAAAGTAAGAAATACACCCCAAATATATAATGTCACTTGATTTGCAACAAAGGTGTCAATTCAATTCAATAGGGATAAAAGCTCTTTTCAATAAATAGTGCAGGAGCAATTGGATATTTGTAAAGAAAAGAATGAACCTTAATCTTTAATTCCCTACCTCTCACCACTCACAAAATGTAATTTGAGGTGGATCATAAACCTAAAAGTGAAAAGCAAAATGATAAAACTTCTAGGAAAAAAATATACAAAAATATTTTCATGACATTAGTGTGGGCAAAGATTGCTTAAAATAGGACCAAAAAATACACTAACCATAAAAGAAATCCAGTGTGACGTTAGCTGTAGCTTTGCGTGCTGATGAGAACACATGGTACCATCACCTTGAAAGATGTTTAGCAATATCCACTAAAGCAATTCTATTCCTTAGGTATATTCTCAAGAGAAATGGTCAGATGTGTGCCAGAGCAAATGGCAGCATTATTTGTAATAACCAAAAACTAGGAACCACCAAAATGTCCATCAAGAGAATGGATAAATAAATTATGGTGGATTCACAGAATGGATATTACACTGCTGTGAAGTAACAAGCAATTGTTATATACAAGTACATGGATGAATGTTACAGATAAGTTAAGCAAAGGAAGGCAGAAACTGGCGTACACAGTGTATGGTTCCATTTATATGAAGTTTAAAAACAGCCAAAATTAATCTGTGCAATAAAAGTCAGAACACTTGTTGTCTCGGCAGGGGGGAGGGGTTGCTATACTCTGAGAAGCCTGAAGGATTCTTAAGAGGTGTCGTAGGCGTATGTTATGCCTAAAACAAATATGTCCCCTAAAAAGGAGATGTTGAAGTCCCAACCCCCAATACTTCAGAATGTGACCTTATTTGGAAATAGCATTTTTATAGAGCTAATCGAGTTAAAATGAGGTCATTAGGGTGGGCCCCAATCCAATATGACTGGTGTCCTGATAAAAATGGGAATTTTGGACACAGACACAGTCACGCACAGAGAGATGACTATATGAAGAGACCCAGGGAGAACGCCACGGGAAGATGAAGGCAGAGATCAGGATGATGAATCTACAAGTCAAGGCATGCCAAATATTGCCAGCAAGCCACTAGAAGCTAGGACAGAGGCGTGGAACAGATTCTCCCTCACAGCCCTCAGAAGGAACCAACCCTGCTGATGGGACAGCTTGATTTCAGACTGCTAGCCTCTGGAAACGTGAGGGGATACATTTCTGTTTAAGCCAGTCAGCTCGTGGTACTTTGTTATGGCAGCCCTAGCAGTATTTGATATCTTGATTAGGGTGGTAAGTAATAGAGACGTGTATGTATGTACAAATCCATTGACTTGTGTAATTAAGATGTGTGTACTTCCCTATATGCATGCTATAATATATTTTAAAATTAAGCTATGTTAGTATGTTCTACTTTCTTCCCTATAGGATATAACGGATGACGTTGAAATTCACACAAATCCATACCAGGTTGTGATCCTCAATTTTTAAGAATTATTTCAGCACTTTCTCTTTGCCATGTTAGTAATACTTTCTCGATTAAAACCATCAATATCTTGAATCTTCTAATTGTAACTTATTACTCTTAATTGTCTGTTTAAACAGAACAATAAAAAAGCTTGTTTGGGGCAATGAAGAGGTGAAAGCACACGTGAGTAAGCAAGAAAATTGACCTAGAGGAAGTGATCAATCTAAACAGCAGAGAAGTAGTGCTTCTGGAAAAACCCTAATCACACTCATTCGCTTTGCAGTAATGAAGTGGAAAAGGCACCTTATCAAGACAAGGTCGGATATTATTCAATTTTTTTATAATTAAAAACTTGCTTCCAAGAGTACAATATGCCAACGGGAATTAGATATTTTGAAAATACAGTCTCTTGCAGTCGACTTTCTTTCTCTAAGTCTTATCTGACTAGCAATACAATAGTGTAAAACTGCTGTCTAATTTAATTCATGCTTAAAGGAACTGATTATTTCCTTAAGATTATTGAATTCATTTAGCATTATTAGATTCTGTTCTCCATTTACGCAAATGAAATAGGACCTTAAATGGAAATAAGTACAAATGAAATATGACCCTAAATGGAATTTATCATGATCACCATATTGTAACTTAAGGAAAAAGGGAAATCTCTATTTAGATGTTTTTTCACAATTATCATGCCATGTATAAGTAATTTTTTCCACCAAAAACGAAAAAAACAATTCACAAAGTTTATCCAAAAAGGCGAACCGGTGGCAGTAACTTTGATGTTTTTATTTTACAATTAAATATGACAGTTGGAATGGGGAAACTTCTGAAGCCTCCTCTGGTCCACCTGCTCTTGATGTCACACGTGGCAGCTGTCCCTGCATTGTTCTGAGTCACATTTAGGCTACCGCTGCTGCTGCTGCTGATGATACTGATGCACCAGACTGCTGAGGCTCATCTTTCTTCTGCAACATCTCTTCTGAGCTAGGCTCCTGCACCCACTGCTTTGATCCACCTTGTGAAGGGTACAGTTTTATTAGGTTTGTTTCCAAGTTGTGCGTTTACTGATGACATGGTGGGGTTGGTTTGATTTCCATAACAGCCATGATCACTGCCGTCCTTCTTGAACCCTGGGGACCCCCACAAAGTCCTTGTCGCACTTGTTCATCCACTGGGTTAAAGATCCTCCTAAAGCTATAAAAGGCTTCCTCATAATTTGCCTTTTGTTTTGCCACTCCTAGCCCCTCTTTATACAACTTGCCTAAATATCTGAACCCCAATATTGTACGTACTATAAATTTTTTTCCCAGAAAGATTCTGAGCCCCTATCATTGGATTTAAATAAACATCAGGACAGGAAAGGTCAGATAATTCCATCAGTAAAACATATCTGAACTCCATCTCCCACCAAGAAAGCACTCCTGGTACTTCAGTAGTTTTTGGTTTTTTAAATTAGAATAGCCAACCACATAATTTGGGGTCCTAAAACAAAGTGTACAACTGCAGTATTCTTGAAGTGATCAAGAATCATGAAACATAAAAATCTCATAGCCAAGAGCACATTAGACACTGATCTGTTTCTTTAGATTGAGGTCGTATTTTAATGGAAGCATACTTGGTTAAAGATGAAGTGACCCTTTATTGATTTGTTTAATGAAATATTCTGTTTCCATATAATGAGGACAACAGCATTTGTCTAATATCTATCTAGAGGGGTATCTATCTAACACCTAAATGTCTACCTAATATCTAAATGGAGGGATTTCCCTTCTTCCTTAAGTTACACTAATTGTGATTGTATTAATTTCCACTCAAGGTCATATTTCATTTGTAGTTATTGTACTTATTTCCCTTTAAGGTCATATTTCATTTGCATAAATGGAAAACAAAATCTAATAATGCTAAATGAATTTGGTAATCTTTAGGAAGTAACCAGTTCCTTTAAATATAAACACACTATATTCATTCCTTCTCTATTAAATTATACTCTTTTATTCTCCAGCATGATAGAAAATAATAGGATAAATTAGTACATGTATTTGTTACTGCTCTTAAGGTAAAATTTTAAAATCCTTTATCTAGTTTATGAGAATCTGGCCCCAGTTTATCTCTCAAGCTGGATTTTCTTCCTCTTTCTCCTAACTATAAGTACTAAAGCCAAACCAGACTTCTTTCAGCTCCTTCAACACTGTGATTTTGCTTAGCTCCCAGCCTTTGCCTAGCCTCTTTCCTCCACCCAGAATGTTCTTATCCAACCCCATCTTCACCCAGCACTCTTGTCCTTTCTTCAAGACTTAGCTTAAATATCACACCATCAAAGGTCCCCATCCTCCACCCAGCTGCTACAACCAGATTAAGTGCCCGCATTACAAACTCCTCAGACCAACATTTAACTTGACCACCACCATTGACCAACACTTAACACAGTCTCTGGCACATGGTAGGTGCTCAATGAATAATTATTGAGCTGTAATAAACATTTCTGTAGTGTAATATCAATATGGTTTGTTAGGCTAGAGGTGAAAGCATATTTATTACCCAATTTCAATTACATAGCACAAATAATCTTTGATCCCAAACATCTCCTTCAATCAAAAACTTTATGATTTTAAAAAATATGCTGGTGACAGTTCATTTCACGCGTCCACTTGGTTAGGCTACAGTGCCCAGTTGTTTGGTCAACTGGTCTAGCTGTAAAGGTATTTTGTAAATGTGACTAACCTTCACAATCAGTTGACTTTAAGTAAAAGAGATTATCTTCAATAATGTAGATGGGCCTCCTTCAATAAGTTGAAGACCTTAAGAGCAAAAACTGAGATTTTGGATAAGGAGGGATTCTGCAAGATTAACATAGAAATCCTGCCTGAATTTCTAGTCTACCAGCCTGCCTTACAGTTTTCAGACTCAAAACTGCAACATCAACTCTTACCCGAGCTTCCAGTTTTCCAGCCTGCTGAAACCCATAAATGCATAGATAAACAAATGAATGAATAAACGCTAAGTCCATGTGAAAATTTATCTATAATTCTTTTTTTTTTTTGTAAGATTGGCACCTGAGCTAACAACTTCTTCTTCTTTTTGTTTTTTCTTTCTTTCTGCTTTTTCTCCCCAAATTCCCCCAGTGCACAGTTGTATATTTCAGTTGTGGGTCCTTCTAGTTGTGGTACATAGGACGCTGCCCCAACACGGCCTGACGAGCAGTGCCATGTCTGCACCCAGGATCCGAACCAGCCAAACCCTGGGCCACCGCAGTGGAGTGCTCGAACTTAACCACTGGGTCACGGGGCCGGCCTCCTGTAATTCTTTTTAAATAATAGCATTAGCTCAATCACATATCAGTATCAATTGGTGTTATATATTTCTGTAAGATGTCCTGGAAAGTAGTAAAAGAGTAAAGAATATCTACTTTCTATCTAGCTACCTATCATCTATCTATCTATCTATCTATCTATCTACCCTTCCTATGATCTTTTAGGGTAATATATAACATTGACCAAAGTAGAATATATTACTTAACTCAGTGTGACTCCCAAATCTGAAAATATATTTTGAATTGCAACCCTTTGCGCTCATCATACGATAAATTTTAAGGTTTACTGCATTGTTTTAATATTTTATTGCTATCTTTCTCCTTAATATGTATGATATTTGTGTACAACTGGCAAAAATTATAGTCTTCATTCATGTTAGTAAATTTTGGCTGACTCACCATTCTAGAGAACTCATAAAAACAACTTCATTAACATATGGTATATAGAATTTCTTTACTCTGTTGTTAATATTTCCTTTGAAGCTTTTAAAATTCAGTGGTACCAAGTGTAACACCACTATATTTCAATCTTATCTAGTTTTTTGAGGTTCTGAAAAGAAGCTGACAACCACAAAATGAATTCTGCTTTACTCATATACAGCATAGCATGGGGTGGGGGTGTCCTACCTGGAGTCAATTATTCTGTGAGAAGTAAAGCCTGAGAATTTCCAAATTGCTGTTGTTATTGGAGACTTTTTAACTTTTTGTTATGAAAAATAGTATTTTCAATATCCAATATTGAACTAGCCATTTCAAACATATAAAATTCAACTTAATAGTATAATGATACTCATCTTCTCATCACCCACTTCCAACATTATCTGCTCAAAGACAATCTTGTTTCATCTATACCCCGACACATTCCCCACACCCACGTTATTTTGAAGCAAGCCCAGACATTATATAGTTTTATTCTGCAGTGTCTTAGTATGTATCTCTAAAAGATAAGAACTCCGGAAATAAAATAGCCACCAAATGATCATCTCATATAAAAACTTAATAATTCTTTAATTCATAAAATACCTTGTCAAGATTAAAATTTCCCATTGTCTCATAAATGGGATGTAAAAAATAAATTGTTTGTTCAAATCAGGATCCGGATGAGGCCTCCTAGTGTGACGGGTCGAGACATCTCTCCAATTTATTTTAATCTATAGATTCTCCTTCATCTACATTTTCCTTTACAATTTATTTCTTGAAGAAAGTGGATTAGGTCTCCTGTAGAACTTCCCACAGTCTAGACTTTGCAGATTACATCCTAGTCTGCTCTTTAATCTTTTCCTCTGTCCTCAGTATTTTTTGTAAATTGGTAGTTGAACATAAAGACTTGATGTGATGTGTTCAATTTATTTATCTATTTTTGAGAAGCAAGTCTCCTTCGGAAGTTGTGTTGCATTCTTCATCAGAAATCTCATATTTCTGATCATTTTCATAGTGTTAACAGCCATTTTAAGTATCAATGATATTCATTAATTCATGAGGAGCTGCTAAATGGCTATATTCTAATTCTATGATTCCTTTTCATTTACTAGCTGGGATATTTCTATATTGGGTAACTTTTCCTCATCTAGTGTTTGATACTTTCTGATATGATTGGTAAAGGAATAGCGTGATAAATGCTTGATCATTTCTCTTTATTTATGATTTTTCAAAATATTGTGTTTATCATCCTCCAATCATGACCCGTAGAACCTTAGAATGTGTATTTGTGTATACGTGTTTTGCAGTGTGAAGAAACGCTGTTTTCAAGAAAACTAAATATCACCTATGAAAAGCTGACTGGCTTTGCTTTGGCAAATCCAACACAGACCAGGGTTGATTTTTTTTAATGCAGGATCTGGGACCTGGTCGGACAGCATAGACGTCGGAACTGTCACTCAGTAGATAGACTCACCTTATTCAAGGTCATAGAGTTGAAGTATAAAAGCCAGAAGGGTGGTTCATCCTTTCTAATGAGAAATGCAACTCTCAAGTCAATAGGATACTTGTGATCACTGATCAAGATTTTCTCTCCTGGAGAAAAATTTAAATAGGGAGCTGAATTATTATATGAAATTTGCTTGGTGGAGTTGATGTCAGAACAAGAGCTGGCTTGTTAGATACTCCATTAGCTGGCATCATTGTCCCAGACACCTTAATGCATCTGTCTCTATTCTAGAAACACGTCTGTAAATGGACCGTTGTATTGGACCAGAGCAAGTGTTCAGACAATTATTTACCCTTGTACTCTCTTGAGCAACACATTTTTTTTTCTTTCGACTTACACTCAAGCTTTGGATTAACAGATTCATTTTATATTTTAATGGTGACTTTGCATATTTTCATTGGGAGCTGGAGGGAGAGCAAAATATCTTACCCTAAAGAATGAAAGAAAAATCTACACGAATCAGAGAGGCACTCAGCAAGATCTACTGAGAGAAAAGAACATCAAATTCAGTAAAGCCAAAGGGGATATACAAGGAGGGAAGAGAGTGCTGGATTTACCATAAGGAGTTGAGGATTCTGCGGGAGGCCTAGTTCTGGCAGAGCCTGTGTTGGGACAGGAAGCCTCCCCCAGACTCTATCGTAAACACGTGCCATAGGTCAGGAACTGAAGTCCAGCACGGGGCATGACCGTGGTGTGGGTGGGGAGCCCCATCATCAAGGATCACCAGGGAAGTGTCCATCTGACCACACGGTATCGCTCTTGAACAATTAGAACAATCAAAGTCTCTGTGCAGTTAGACAAATCTGGCTCTTTTTCTCTCTCTGTGGCACTGGAATTCAGAATTGACCCTTTAACCCTACCTAACTGCCCAGGGCTATCGAATAATTTGTAGGGTTAGGAGTAAGCCCTCCGAGAGGAAGAGAATGTACTTACTTTGATAAGGCATTTGGGAGCTACAGTTGGCGACCAGAAAAAATAGGAGTTTTCTCTGCATTTGCACCACAAGCTAGTAATATGGGTTGCATTTGTTATAATCGCATTACCCTCACCCTCACCAACAGGCACGGTTGGAGACTCCCTCTGTACACGTGTTAGGTCACAGAAACTTACAAGGCCTTCTAGGAGAGGCTGATCTGCTTGGGAGGGGGGTAAGATATTAATAAAAAATAGATTAGCGTTTGAATAACTGAGGACTCTGGTTTAGCCAAACTGACACATAAGGTGGCCATCTCAAATGTATGCAAATTCTGCTTATGTGCTGCACACACGGATGAAATATACCTTCACGGAGTATAGAAGGAGGGCTTGCAGAGGGCTAATGTCTCTTGGAGATTTTCACACAGAGTGCATACCCAGCTCCAAAAAATATCAATTTATTGTTGGCTGTGTAGACCTCACTGTAGCTAAATTGTATCTCCTTAAAAAGTAGGGACTATAGGGCCCGCCCCATGGCCGAGTGGTTAAGTTCACGTGCTCTGCTTCAGCGGCCCAGGGTTTCACCGTTTCGGATCCTGGGCGCAGACACGGCACCGCTCATCAAGCCATATTGAGGCATCATCCCACATGCCACACCTGGAAGGACCCACAACTAAAATATACAACTATGTACCAGAGGGCTTTGGGGAGAAAAAAGAAAAATAAAATCTAAAAAAAAAAAAAAATGGTAGGGACTATAATTCTTATTTCATTTTTTTAAAATCCTCCTTAGAGTTTTTTTTTTAATGGTATCTCTATTCATAAAAGGTACTTAGTAAAATTGCACGGGAAGTTGAAAAACCAAAGAGAAATTTATTTTTTTGCCATGTCTAATATTATTCATCCCTCTAAGTCTGCATGAAATTCAAATATTAAAAGACTCTTTGGGGGATTAAATCCTACTTAGAAAATAAGGCAATATAGGGAGTGTGTGAAAGTAATAAAAAATTTCAAGCACCAGATTAAAATATTTGCTTCACTTGGAAAAAATAATTATGCTATTTTCTAGTGCAAATGATTACTAGTAAATGGAAGTGTTTTGTTTCTTCTTGCTCCCTTTGACTGAAGTGTAATTCACACCAGACAGTCAACAGGCACAACTGTAGTCTCATAAAAATGGAGTAATTTGGGGAGGATTGTTAAGTCAAAGAATGCCAAAGAGATGGGAGGCATTTTCACTAGCAGGGTTTGAACAAAATATTCAAGTGAACAGATGCAGCTTACTGGCTTGTGGGACACACTATACATTTTCATCTATGCCTTAATTATCTTAATTCAGGCAGCTGAGACATGAAAGGCGCTTTCCCTTTCTTGTTTAATTTTTAAAGAGACTAGAGTCCACTGCTTGCTGGTGTATCTATGGTTTGCGAACCACGGGTGAAGAAATGCCTTTAACTAGCTTTGATCTGGAGAGCAATGGTGCTCAAACAAGCATATGATGAGTGGCTGGGAAGCAGGCAAAATGCAAATTTCCAGGTCCCATCAGTGACTCTGAGCCCACAGGGGTGGCATGGAAACTAGACCATTTTTGAGATACTGATCTGAGCCTGCTGGGAAAGTCCTGAGAAGAGGATGTGCTTCGTCATTTACGTCACCTGCCACCTGGATCAGCCTAGACTCTCCACTGAAACATTCTTGGCCATGTCTATAGTCCTCTGGTCCATCCCAGGGCTTCTCTTCTTGCTTGAAAGTTACTTTAGTTCTTATCAAATTGTGATAAACAAAATGGAACATTTAATTTCAGATTTATCTTAGGAAGAGGGAAGCTAACGAATTAAGAAATTTCCAAGGATAGCATAAAACCTGGAGGAACGAGAAACAAAAGGAGCTCTCTGTTCAGATTCCTGTCTCTGAAATCCAGGAACAAAACAAATTAGAAGAGCCTAAGGTACACAGCCCTGCTACCTGAAACTTAGCTTGATGTTAAAGGTTTTGAAAGTGAAATGATCTTACATGGATATTATTTATTTCAGATTAATTTGTGGAATGCCATAGACTAGTAGAAAATGTGGGTCCTGGATGAGGAAGACGAGGATATTTCAAGATTCAAAAAGTGATTCAAAAAGAGGGAGTCAGCCTTCTCTGGAAATTCTGTAGACAGAACCAGTGAATTGATACAAAGGATAAACTCTGTTTTTCACTTGGCTGTGAGCAACTCAAACAACAATTGAGTGGCTTAGGAATGCCCATTCTTCTCACTCTCAGAGGCAAATGGGTTGTTATGCACAGGGTACAGAATGCATTTAGAATTCAGGTGAAGTTCAGAATGTGTTTGAGTTGTACTTTAAAATAAACCAGGACCATCCCTACTAATACATTTCTACAAATAGATACAGCTGGGACCTCACTGGTGGGCCCTGTGGTACCCACATGGGTAAAAAAGGCAGTTAATATCCTAGAACATTAAGTTTGAGATGATGTACGCTTGACCTTACCAAAAAATCTGTCTACGTGTAAATAGTACTACATGTTTTTGTCTTTCAGAGTTTTGAAGATTTTAAGTCTCTGAGCAATCCAAATCCTTTCGAAGTTGAAGAATATCTTTTTCTCAACAAACAGAAGCATCCTTTTTATGTTAATACAGTCATGCAAAGAAACAATGACAGAATAGTTGGTATGGGAGTAATGCCCTGAAAGAGATGAGTCACTGTCTGAGGCAGAAACCGGAAGGCGTAAAGCTCCCTGTGGGGAATACAACAAAGACGTGGGAACCATTATAGGACGATCGACGTTGCCTCTGCCATCACCTGGGTTTGTGAATGGCTTCATCAGCACTTCATGCTAACACTATTAAATACGAAGTGTCAAGCTCAGCACTCACAGAAGGTGACCTGGACTAGAGCCAGGCCCCCAGCTGAGCCTGTGATGAGCATCCAGGAGCTGCTCGAATGAGGGATCAATGACTTGCAAGTTTACCAGGCAGAATAATGAATAGAAGTGGGACAACTGCAAGCAAAATTGGCATGAGAAATGAGGGTACTGAGAGAGTGGCCAAGAGTAGGGCACAGCTGCAGAAAGTTGAGGAACTAGCCCGCTAGAATCTGACCTGGGAGGTACAAACACAGCGCGGAAAACTTGGTAGTCCTATGAGGATTTTGGGGGCAGAGAAAATACTCTGTATGATACCATAAAGATGAATACATGTCTTTAAACGTTTGTCCAAACCCATAGAATGTACAACACCTCTCTGGCGGGGGATGTTGATAATGGGGGAGATTATGTTTGTGACGGGCCAGGAAATCTCTGTACTTTTCCCTCAATTTTGCTGTGAACCTAAAATTGCTCTAAAAAAGAAAAATGAAGTCAATAAAAAAAAGTTTTTTGTAAGGAATAAACACACTAAGATGTTTATATGAGCAATCATTTTGGTTAGTTTCAATACAATGCTATCTAAAAGATATGGCTAGTTGTATACTTGCATCTTCTGCTAAAATGATATTTGAACACCTCCAAGGCTATAAGCTTGCATGACCAGGATGAGAATAGAGCCTATTGAGAAGCACGAGGAAGATGAGTTGGAAGATGAACTGGAAGATGAGTTGGTTGTAGAGGAAAGATTATGATTTCTACTTAGAAGGACTTTCTATCTCAAATATTCATACCACTAAAAGAATGCTGAATGTTAATAATGACATTTAATGTTATAGTAGTATTAAAATAGAGTTGCTGTATTTTTCTTAGAGAGTAATAAAAATTGATAAGGATTTTGAGACACACTTCTATTTCTCATTTAATTGCACTCTTTGTATCCACACCAGCCCATCAATGTAAGATAAGAGAAAACACAGGTTTGTATTACCCAGTTGGATGCTACGCTGATATTTACTAATAGAACTCTGCTGATACAGAAGTAGATAGTAAAATAAGTTTTATGTCAATTGCTCAGGTATTTTAGGAGGAGAAGATAAGATTATGTTGAAAAGTAAACTGTAAGTTCCTTCGCTGGAGTTGCTGTGAGTTTTTATTTCTTTACATGTCCTAGTTTGTGAAATGCTCACACGTGAGGCATGCCAGGACCTAAGCCGACAGGGAGGAGACAGAAGCTAGGGAAGGAGCCTGGGAAATACAACCTAATGCAATAGCTGCCGCCACCTGTAGCAGCTAAGTGATTCATTGTACAAAAGGCAAGCGTAGCCCCAGTTGAGGTTATTTCTAAGATCTAAGGGTGTCCAGCGGTTAAGTGGGGCAGGGATAAAGTAGAAAGTCATTGTGTCAGTTCATACTCAAAAACAAGTGGGCGTCAGCATCATTTTAACTATTTAATTCATGGCGGAAATACAGCCAGTGAACCGGAGGCTGGGGAGGAGTGAGGAGGTAATGGTCAAAGGAAAGCAAGGTCTAGCCTCTGGGAGGGAAGCTTAAGGTAGATAAGGAGATTTGGGGTGGTGTTCAAGCCTAGGTTGGCGGAAGGGGTATTAAAATCATAAGCAGAGGAAATTGAGGCATAATATGGCTGAGATGAACTGGCCCAATTGGTACTCCCATTATTAGCAATAAACATAAAAGTGATAATAGCCACCGTCTATTGGATACTTAGTGTGTACCAGTACATTTTATACATCCTCTCATCTGAATTCAAGCTGTAAAACAGCCCAATGAAGTAGTTACTAGGGTCTCCATTTTTAGAGATGAGGAAAGTAATTACTGGAAGATTTAATAACTTGAGCAAAGTCATACAATTAGTAACAAGCAGAGATGGAATTTGAGTGCAGGCTTTCTGATGCTCACACCGGCGCGCTTGAGTACTACTACATAGTACTAGGGGTTAAATTCTCTGACAAAATTCTGTCCTACTTAGGATTTGATGAGGAACTTGATGACCTGAACCAACCGCTGGAGGGATCAGAGACAAACTTTAAAGGACTGAAGCATTCTCTCTTTCTTCCATACCATCTAACTCCGGGGCCTTACATTCCATTGTTGAATATTTATTGTTCATTTTCTTATTGCTTTTAAATCCAAGTTAGGAAGATTAAGGAGAGAACAACAACAAAACCTTCTCCTCTGCTATGCCAGGATGGAGATTTATGCTGCTTGGGAAAAAGAAATTTTCTTCTCCAGAGAGGCAAGATGCGATATGTATCTTCCCATAAATCATGAACCTTCAGGATCCGGCTGTAGTCACCATCTGTACACGTTTGAACAGTTGGCCAATTATGTCAATTGACCCAATTTAATAAATTTATGTATAACTTGAGTTAGACATCTAGTGGCTAGCTAAAGAATGTTTGTCTTTTCAGGTGTTCTCTATTCCTATGTTTGTCTAGCCTATAGTAAACACTCAATAAAAGTTGGCTGCTCTTATTTGTGTTATTATTATTATGTACAAAGTAATCGAAGTTGCAGCTGCAAAGGTTTTAGACTGAGGACCTTCTATTAAAATACTTCTGGATTTCCATTAACCAGGACATCATTAGAGACTTTGGAGAAGATTAGCCATTGAACGGCTCAATTCATTAAGGAGACAACTCAGCTGTGCTTTTTCTTCTCTTAATGGCAGATCTCCTTACTTTCCAAGGCACTATTTAAACTATTAAAATAACTAATGAGGTCATTACTGTTGTCAGAAAAGCCCCAGCCTGAGCAGATATCTTTACTAGTAAACGCAAAGTATTTGTTCCTGTGGAATTTCTTACACGCTTAATAACATCAGAAGAGAATCAGGTAAGAGCAGAGCAGAGAACCAGCTCCACAACTTGTGGGTCCAAGTAATAAGAGCACGTGAACTGAATGTTTCTCATTTTTTTAGCCAGATGTGCAATTAGAGTTATTCCTTTGTGTGAAGACAATTCAAGGTTGAATTTCTCGATGATTTTTAAATCAAATGAACACAAAGGCCTTAATTGTCAACCAGACTCAAACGAAATACATGTCATACCCAGTACAGATTGTTATTGATGATTAGCAAGATCTAGATGATAAAAGTAATAGCGTGTGAAACATCCATATGTGGGACTGCCCAAACTCATTAGCTAGAGCTTCCCGGGTCCCCATTTCTGCCAGGATGAGTTTTGGTTTCTGAGAGAGAACTGGTGGGGGATAGGTTAGCACAAAGCTGCCATTGAGTTTAGGGGTCTCTCAGCTTATGCATCTTCCATATCATGTAACTCTTTCTGGTTCCAACGTTCGTTCTTCAACGTGGCTGCAGCCTTGCAGGTTTATTGACGATAAATGATCTCCTCTAGACAGACCAGGAATATCTTGCTAAAAGCATTTCTAGATGAGTAATTGGTACATGGTAACCTCTGAGAGACCCCGATTTAACAGTTCGTGTTTGCAAGGGCTGCAGTTCAAGACCAAGTTTGCCTCTGGTGTTCATAAAGGGGGAGAAATGGTTTATAGACCTGTAATAACCCTTTTCTTCCTAGAACAAAGAGAAGTCAGCTGGAATGTATACACATTTGAAATGCAAAACAACCAGCTGTTATTGTCAGAACATCAAGTGTTATCAAGGGTCAACCTTATAAGTTCCAGCCTGTTTTAATCTGAATGCAGCAGGATATTAAACTGCCATTGCTTGATATTACAATGAACAAAAAATAAGGTAAATTTGAGTAACTCTTCATGATAGCCATTTAAGAAAAAAAAGGTCACATTTGTCAGTGTAATTATCTTTTAATTCAACCTAATTCCCTCAAAGAAAAACCGTTTGTATAAATAGAGACAGTTGTGAATGTTTGGTCATATTTGATGTTTACCTGCAGAAAGCACGCTCAGAAATGAATATCAGAAAGTGTGACTAACCATAGTTCTCATATAATACATTCATTCCATAATAATTTTCCCTTAGTTTACCTATTCTTTTGGTAAAATGCAATAAGATTATCAAATGCTGTTATAATCTTAAAAATGACATACATTTGTAAATATCGGTTATAATATATGAAAATCTCATAACCAAAACAAGATTCCATTCTATAGTAATAAAAACTTAAATATTGGGGGTAAGAAGAAATGGATATGGCTTTTCATATTTGTGTTTCACTTATTCTTTACTGTGTCCTTATGTCCAAGTTATCTGAGTGTTAGAGATTGGACTAACATTAAATCTTTTGAATTCTCCAGTTTTCTTTCCTGGAAGAGGGGGAAAAACTGATAACCAAGCTAGTGCCGGGGATGCTGGATGTACTGAAAATACTCATCCCTATCTTTCCAATAGACGCATTCCTAAATTGACAATGTATGACCCAGTATGTATATTCTTATGGTGAATCAGGGGAATCTATGAGTGGTACCTACTTTATACTTTTGAACCTGTTTTTAGATGGGATCCTGGAGGAAATATAAAGAACCAACTGTATGTTCCATGGTTATTCATTCAATATTTTAAAAGACCTTCGTTGTGTTTTTATTGGGCATAACAGGGAAGACCAAAGTCCCTTCCCTTTGAGACCCCCTGGTCTGGTGGGGAGTTAGATATCTAAAAAGATCAGTGTAAGCCATGGAATAAACCCTACACTATATTATATGTAAATGCTATGGGAACACAGAGAAGTGAATGCATAATTGTGCCCAGAGGAAATTTTCATGGAAGTGGAAAGACTTGTGATAGGTTTAGAATGATGGCTAGAAGTCTCCCAAGCATAAATGGAAGGGTAGGGAATAGCATTATATATAGAAGAAAGAGCAAGTGCAATGATGTAGATGTGTGAAGTGCCAGGTAGCTTCACTCCCTTGGGCCTTTCGTGGAAAGAATTTTGGGAATTTCCCATCTGAGTGCCCTTCTAACTCACTTGTTTAAATCATCCTCACTGATCAGGAGGATATGCTGGGAAGTCAATGAAATTTCCATAACGCGATGGGCTGGTGGGGAAAAACATTTCTTTCTCAAAGTTTGGTGATATTAAAATCAAGGAGGTGTAATGAGGTGCTAACTAGGGAACACCTGAAGATTAGTTTTGAAGGAGGAGCTAATTCAAATGGCTAAATACCTATGTATTATTATGAGTCACATAATCATGATTGTTTTTGCACATCTATGATTTCACCTTTCTTTGTATACTCAATGAGAGTTGTTAGTAGCAAGAATTATAACTAGCCTGGTATCAGAGTAGTGGCTATAAAGGACTGAAAATGGGGAGCTTCCTATTACAATGATGACCTTCAGATTTGGTGAGACCCGTCTGTTATCCTATCCACTAACGTTGGATGCCCAGACACGCTTCTGAATAGGGCTTAGAATCCTGGGAAACTTTTTTGCATACACCACTCTAGGCACATCTATGTGCTGTAATTAATACCTATGCATTGCATTTTACTGCAATAAAAGTGAACTTTGGACAAAGTTTGTGACTTCATTGTTTTTGAAACCACTGAACTAACATAGAACAGGGTTAAGAGCTTAAATAGAAGCTGCAGTTAGTGATCTCACAGTGTTCAAATGGATCTCCAAAACTGGCCGGTATTGAAAGCCCAGAAGTAAAAGGCCAGAGACACAAAGCACACAGAAACACATAGAACACAGCTCTGGGTGAATAGCTGGGACAGATGCTGGAGCTCTCAACCTGCTTTTCAATGCTCACTTCACAGGAAGGCTGCCTTCACTTAAAGGGCCAGCAACAGACAGATCTGGAGCTGTTTAAATGGCTATGGGTAAGTCTCTGTACGTTCATGGGACTTTATATCCTTGTCAAGGGAAGGATCAAAGACACCAAATTCTAGGTCAAATAAGAAAATGCAAATTCTTAAACGATGTTCGCAGAATTTTGCTCCCTAGGTTTTT